AATAATAATAATAATAATAATAATAATAATAATAATAATAATAATAATAATAATAATAATAATAATAATAATAATAATAATAATAATAATAATAATAATAATAATAATAATAATAATAATAATAATAATAATAATAATAATAATAATAATAATAATAATAATAATAATAATAATAATAATAATAATAATAATAATAATAATAATAATAATAATAATAATAATAATAATAATAATAATAATAATAATAATAATAATAATAATAATAATAATAGTTTATTATTTGCCAATAAAAGATGTACAAAAATACAAAATATAAAAAAAACAAAAATACACTAAATACACTAATTAGGCAAATAAAAGGTCGAGTGATAGGTCATAAGACCAATTCTACCTCACTCGCCTTGAAAAAAATAAATAAGTAAAATAAAGAGTCAACATACATATACATATCTAGATTAATTCAAAAATACAGTTAAAAGAATAATTAACTAGTGAAAGGAACCTTAATCTATATTAATAAATATTAAAAATCACAAAAAAAACTTAAAATTTAAAATGTCTGTTCGCGTAAAAATATTTGTTTGTATTTATTTTTAAAAGCTGTTGATGAAAGACTGAAATTTGGTATATCAAGAAGATGACTGTTCAATGCAATTTGGTAGCTAAATGATTTTTTGAATATTTGTTTATTATGAGATGGAATGGTAATGGCATGCTTTTTCCTTAAATTAATATGATGAACGTCGGTTCGAAAACTTATCTTTTGATGTAAGTATGAGGGAATTTTGGTCTTAACTATTTTATAAAATAAACAGAGAGAATGAAGTTTCCGACGATTAAACATGTTCAGCCAATTCGCCTCTTTTAATTTATAAGAAATCCTCTCCCTTCTCCTTATGCCATAGATCATCCTTAAACAACTATTTTGTACTTTTTGAATTCGATTCTTATCAATTAATCGTAAAAAAGAACCATATACCGTGTCGCAATGATTAAAGTGCGATAAAACAAGAGAGTCAGTAAGCAGTTGTTTAGTTGCAGTAGACAAATCTGTTCTATGTGGATAAATTAGTTTTAGGGAAGAGTAGGCTTTCCTAACCTTCTGGTTATTATGTTTATCGAACCTTAATTGAGAGTCAATAGTCAAACCAAGATTTTTACACGAGGAACTAATTTTTAAAATTTCATTCCCTAAGGTGATTTGTATTTGTGGCAAGATCAGCTGTCGGTTATTTTCACTGCAAAATACAATAACATAACATTTTGTTGAGTTGATATGCAATGAGTGTTTTTCAGATGCACTTACAAGAATAGAGAGATCGTCATTAATATGCCTGACCGACTCTTCAATTTTAGACAGTTCAAAAGAATAATAAATTTGTGTATCATCAGCATATAAATGGCTCTTACAATGATTTAGATGTGAATGTAAGAAGGATGTATATAAGGTGTACAGTAATGGGCCAAGAATGCTGCCCTGAGGAACACCTTTTCTGACTAACAAACCATTAGAGAAAGTGTTGTTAAGAACCACCTGTTGAACCCGGTTTGTTAGATACGAAGTTATAATTTTGATCGACAAATGGCTGAGACGAATAAAATGCAAAATTGCTAATAGAAGTTTGTGGTTCAATGTGTCAAATGCACGTGAATAATCAATTAGTACTAATGTGCATACTTTATTTGCATCAAGTGAGCGCAATATGTCATCGGTAACATCGGCTAAAGCGGTTGAACACCCATATCCACTTCTAAATCCTGATTGGGGTTTTGGAAGAATATCGAATTTTTTTATATGCAAATTTAGTTGTTTTTCTAAGAGTTTTTCAAAAATTTTGGAAAGGACCGGGAGAATGCTTATACTTCTTAGTTGATTTAATTGTAGCGGTTGGGAGACTTTAGGTAGAGGAATGACATATGCATGCTTCCAAGCAGTGGGAAAGTAACCAACGTTTATACATTCGTTAAATATATGTGAAATATACTTTAAAATAAACGGACAACAAATTAATATGATATCGATATTTAAATTATCACTTCCGTAAGCCTTAGATTTAGTTGTTTTTATGATTTTCAAAATTTGGTCTTCATTGAAATTGGTGAATTGAAATTCTTCACTCACTTTATGGCAAATGTTGTTGTTATAGCATTGAAAGGTGTTCATATCAGGATCAGTAATAGTAGGATCACCAATAAAGAAATTATTTAATTTGTTTACGTCGTTCAAATTTGAAGGTAAATCACGGTTTTTATTATTTTATTTTTATATGATTACTTTAAATCCCTATTAAACTTATTATTATGTCATTACTATAAAAGACTGTTACACTGTTACAGGGCATTATTATTTACACAAAATGTTCATAATTATGTTCAATTTAAACGGGCCTGTATCTTGTTAACTGTAACCAACTTTGTAGATGATAGTACATTAGTTATTTAAGCATCCAATTTCCCAGAGTTAACATTTAGAAGCAGTTCAGTGCTTACGGCCACAGAGACTTGATTTTAAAACCTTTGTCGGTGTTAAATCTTGATTAAACTAAGTAAGTAAATCCTATCTTTTTAAAACTAACCGAGGGCGAAATACCCCAGGTAATTTTACACTTAATCTTCATCAAAAACTATTTCGAAAAACGCTTAACGGGATGCTTCCTAAAAGTATTTAAAACTACGAGGCCGTATTGGAAAGAGAATATAGCGAGTTTTCAACTTTTCCAAACTATTTAGTTTTATTTTCTTTCTTCTTTCTATCGTTGTGTATGTGCTAGTTTTCAACAAATTCGTTTTAGTAACGATTTGTTAGCAGTTCGATTAGCAATATTAATTATTTTAGAAAAATATTCTCGTGTTAAGACAATTTTAATTGTTTATTTAAAAATTGTGTTTAAATAAAACTGGGGCTTTAATAAATTGGAAATATGTGTGTCAATTAAACGATTGTTAACGAAAAATATATCTCATAAGGGTATTTTTTAGGTAATGTTTTAGGTTACTTAAATTGCATATATATAATTTTTACTTATCACAATTTATTTATATATTTAATACTTAATTTTATATATTTGGAACCGTCGCGTCAGTTCGATTTGTAATTTAAGAATTGATTTTATATCTTAGGAACCTTCAGTTCAAGTTTAAATATTTTTTCTGCTAGAACCCTCAGTTCAGCCGTTTGTCAATTGTTTACAATAAACCCTAAATTGAATTTATCTGTTTTAATTTACCTGATATTCGTTTGAATTTGAACTTATCGTACCGTATCTGGACATTGGTCACAGTATAATTTTGTTTCCTATTTTGTTTTTCTCTAAAAAAGTATATTTTTTTGAATATAGTCAAAACAAGTGGGGCGTTTTTCAAAATACATCATAAAAGTTCCAAAATAAACAACTGAGAATTCACCCCTGAGTATAATAAATTTTACCATTTTCCGTTACGGAAAATTGTAAAATCCGAATTAAATAAATTGAGTTTAATTAAATCACTATAAATTTGTCTTCCAAATCAGACAATTCCAGGTAATGGCTTGCATTGGCATTCAATAGGCCTTAATATCTTCTATTAAAAAGCCACAAAACTGCTGCAGATTGTATAAACTTATTCAATCATTTTTACAATTAATACTTTTCAGAACATCATTGGTATATAAGTATCATTATTAGGATAAAAAGTTTGTACCTAGCAAGTGCATTTCATATAATATGCATTTAACGAACTTATTGATTAACGAATTTTTAGCAGTTCATTATAAAATTTATCAGAATCATTAAAGTATTCAAAAAATATACAGGATATTTGCAATTTGAAGTTTTATTACATTACCATATTTTATTTAATTACTGCGTTAATTAAAATGGAACATTTTGTATTTTATTGTGCCAGTGAAGGAAATTTAATTTCCTATACCCATATCTACTATTTTTAAACTTATTATTAATAGTTTCAATGCAATAATAAATATCAAATATTTACTAATAATTTTATTTTAGCAAATAAACATGTATTTATTCTAAAATTAGTTAATAAATTTAAAATTTACAATAAATGTCAATGCACGATTTGATTTGCTTTTAAAATTAAAATTTTATTAACACTCGTAAATTCCAAAACTAGGGGAGTAAATAAAACAATGGTTTAGACAAAAACGTGCTCATTAAAAAACTCGTGTCGTAAAAAAATAGTTTAAACAAAAGTGCATTTTGTAGACTTAATAAATTCAAGTTACTCTTATTTGAAACTTCTTTGCTAAACGTACAGGGTGAGTAATTAGATACTGTAAACTAACAGCTGGGACACTCCATATAATCCAGATCCGACATGCAATCCTCATTCATGTTAAGACAATGAAAAATTTCAACGAATGTGTGTATTAGGGATAAACTCTTTCTATAGCAGAGATAACAGAGATATAACCATTCATTGATAAAATATAATATTCACGATGCCAAAAATAATTCGACAATCGATACACTCCATTTGTAGGTCCGAGATGAGGAGACGAAAGGTGAGAAATAAAAGAGGTGATAAAGAGAAGTATTTTACGCAGATACTTTATTTTACAATGAATAAATGTATAAGACGCTGTGCGCTTATAATAAACAACGTAAATATCCATGCCGGTGTAAGCCCTGTTGCCACTAACAACCTGATATGACTAGGTTTCGGAATTTATTGAAAATTATTACATCTAATTTAGTGAAATTACATCTAATTTAGTTAAATTTAATATAACTAATAATTCAAAATTTTTTGAGTTCAGTTGCAATTAAATAGCTTTTTTAATATATGTAAATAATTTTGTAAACAAAAAGAGAATAATGAAATAAGCATATGACAACAGCGGATAATATACCCTCATGTGTCCCTTAGAATATATATTATTCAGGACCGCACGATATTTGTTAGTAGTTACATCTCCTTGTTATCTCTGACCTATACTTATTAAGGGTACCAAAAATTAAAGAGGTATTTTTTAATTATTACATAATTATAGTTACCTTTAATACTTCATATTCTTGCATACTACAGTCTTCTTTATCTGTATAAAAGTCACCGGTGTCATCTGCTTCTTCACTTATTTCATTGTCCAAATATTCTGATTCTTCGGTAGTTGTTTCAAATATTAAATCTTCAGTTGCCTATGGGTAAAATAAAATTAAACATTTAGAAAATAGAAATGGAAGATGCATTGTCTCAAATGTGCTCGGTTATGAAGTAAGAAAAACTCTCAGCCCTATATTATAAAACAGAAAACAAAATATACATAAGTTAATCTTCTATTGTTTTTTAATCCTTACCTAACATTTTGTTTTTTTGTATTGCAGGTATAATGATGAATATTTTAAGCTGAAACTAGTCGCGACAATCTAATTTAACCATTTGTTTGGTATTGGGAGCTATATTTCCCAACAGGGATTTAGCTTAAAACTCTGCTCATCCATTGTCATAGATAATTTAATATGTAAGATAAATCGTTTAAATGCACGGTACTGCTGTCAAATTGTTAGTTCCTCAGCATACTATTTGGAGCCACCATAGCATACTACACAATTGGCTGATTTACTTAATAGTTAAAGGCAACAGAAAAGGAAGAAAATGGAAAGAAAATTGTAAAGCGTATATCCATTATTATTTATTTACATTTTATGGCATTCATTACTCTAAAAAAAACTAATATTTAAATTAAAATAGTGTATTTAACAATAAATATTAGTTTGTTAAATAAAACTCAAAAAAAAAATGTAAATAAAGAAATATTTATATAAAAATATTTGAAACCTAGGTATAGTTTAATTATTTTAAGTAATAGAAGTAAGATGTATTTAAATGTTTATTACATACATAACATGTGTAAATATTAACAATAATTGTAAGTGAAATTAATGGTAGTCTCCTCTTATTCTTGATAACATGGATCAAATTTCGATAGGTTACTGAACAATTTCTCTTACCTATCAAAATGATGGCCATTCTTAATAGTACAAGTTATTTTTAATTTGTCTAAAATCCGTTTATATTTGGAAACACTAAGAGCTTTATCTCGCTTACAAATTCTAATATTTTGTTTTCTATTAATAGAATAAAGCTTTCTATATGAGTTAAATTTTTGACTCTACTTTTATTTATTTGTTGCAGAGATAGGAAGTTTTATCTAAAATTAAATTTAAATTCTTAAACCAGTTCTCACGAATTTTAACATCAGAAGGATAATGAAAAAGGTTTATTTGAATACCTAGCTTGAATATTAGAATCTTTATTTAAACAATTAGGAGCTAAACAAGAATACTTAGCTTTACCTTTCAACGCTTTACCCGGGCCAGATTTGTTTTGTTACTGTTACAAATATATTCAAAAAGAATTGAAAATAGATTCAAAATGAAATTGTATTTCGTTAAGGCTAAAAAAACAATGATACACAAAGTCCTTAAACAAATCTGACACCTAATATTAAATTAAATTGTTAATACTTACTAATTACATCAAATAAGCACTTATGAATCTTTTTAACCTTAAAATAACCCTATGGAACTTACATCATAATCATCCCCTGAGGGGATATATTATGAAAATAACTTTTATTGTGCTTTTATTTAATTGTAATTCGCCCATTTTGTCTTCCGCCATTCCGTTTTTCATTTTTACGAGGTTGTCAACATAGTTGTCAAACCTCTCTTCAAAATAGTATGCCATTGTATGGATGGTATCGAGCTTGGTGGCTCCAAAACACATACTTTGATTTTCTCTCCAAATAGTATGCTGATGGTCTAAAATTGTTACCAGTGCCGTGCTAAATGTTTTATCTTACATATTAATTTATCTATGTCCATTGTATCCCAGAAAGAGTTCTCGTGTTGTTTCTTGTTTAAGTATATTTGTTTTGCAATTTTAAAATTTTAGTATTGCCTGTGTTTTTTGAAAATTATCAAATGGTAAGTACTATCGTCCTAAATTAGTATTATTTATATTTATTATGAAAAAAATAATTATGCAATCTTGGGTTAGTTATTATTTGATGTTATGAGTATAAATAATTTTGTTTCTGTTTTTAAAACTTTCTAAAAACAATTTTTAAAAATAAAGGTTTCATTGTTTTTATTTTTTAAATTTAAAAATAAAATAGAAAACCAAGGACCAGTAAAATAAATAATAACAAAAATTTTTATGAAGAGGATATTCTGTGCATTCTCTGGTAAAAAATTTAAATTTTTAAAATAAAATCTAGAGTTAAAAAAACAAAAAATATTTTTTTACTAATGATAGTTCAATTTCAACACTAACCCTATTTTTTTTTTTTTTTTCAAAATATAAATTTATTAAAAAATGATGTTAATAGGTTCGTTAGATGAATAATTCTCTACCAAAAAAAAGCCTTTTGTTCAAAATTTAGAATTTTTGTGATATACATTAACAAGTATATTTTGCAAATTTTATTTGTCTTTTATCCTATGAAGAGTCACATAGAATATATTATTGTTGTATCGATTTTGAGAGTTTCTCTTATTTCATTTAAAAAATACTTTCAAATGCATTTGCTGCATTTCGAATTGCCCTGTATTATATTTCAATGCACTTACCTCGTCTACTGAAACCAGTGGTGTTGACGGCAGTGTAAGATTTTTCACAAAAGCAGATGTAGATACATTTTTGTTGTATATCGCTGTGGATATCGTTGGAATTTCATTCGCAAAATTACTTTCTGTATCGATCTCCGGTCGTCCTTTGCCTGAAACAAAAGAGGCAGATTATTTTAAATGCCGAAATGAAATTTTAAGTAATTACGCGTCCACCGATTTTTGCCGATTCGAACACATCGGTTATATGTTATATAAGGTATTTAAGATTTTAGACAAACGCTCAGATTTCTCAATTATTTTATTAAAGGAGGACATATTTCTTTTATACCCAAGCAATAATTTGATATTTTAGAGAAGTTGGAATATTTTTACAAAAAAAATCTATAAAACTAGCATTTAGAATCGTTAATAATTTTTTACTCTTTGGCAACATCGCCTTGCGCGTTTCAGTAGCTGCACTGAGTAACTTGCTTTAGTTGATCCTTAAGAGTGGTACCGTTCTCATCTCAATAAATATTTAGATGACTTAGCCGCAAACCTAAGTGACATAGAGGAACCTATTGACAATTTTTGTAGTGAATCTGATGAGGATATTAGTGATGAGCCAACTGAACAAAGTGATCATGATTCTGCGTCTGAAGTTGAATATTCCGAGAATGAAGATGATAATGGTGTTGGTGGAAGCGATGCAAGTACAAGTCAAGATATAACCAGTTATTATTACGGAAAGAATCGTTACAAAGGGCCCAAAAAGGCACCAAAGAAAAATGTCCGAACTTCAGCTCACAATTTAGTAACGCACTTTCCTGAAATAAAAGGGCCAGCTCGGGATACAAAACCTTTCACACCATACGAATCTTGGAAGCTGCTCTTTACTGATGACATTTTACAAATTATTTTAGAACAAACAAACACCAAAATAACTGAGTTAGCTGTAAAATATGAATGTAACCGCGTCTCCTATATCGACCATCTATATATAATTGAACTGAAAGCGTTTCTGAGAGAGATTTATTTACTTAGCATCGAATTCAAATCTGAGCGAGAAGACGTGACATCCCTGTTCTCGACAGATGGTACTGGTAGACCAATTTTCTGAGCCACAATGTCGCAAAAACGTTTTTTCTTTCTTCTAAGTGCAATTACATTTGATGACGCTACCAATCGGCAGAACAGAATTGCTGCTGGTGATAAATTGGCTGCTTTTTAAGAAATTTTTGAAATACTCATAAAAAAACTGTCAAGTAAATTATTCATGTTCGCAGTATGCTACTGTCGATGAGATGTTAGTAGCCTTCCGAGGAAGAAGTAGCTTTCGTATGTATATGAAAAGCAAACCTGCCAAATATGGCTTAAAAATAATGTGCCTACGCGACGTCAAAACTCACTATTTATTAAACCCTTTCGTGTATTCTGGAAAAAATGTCGCAAGGCAATATAAAAAAATTCAGCGTACCCAAACTTGATGTACTAAAATTGGTATCACCAATTGAAAATACTAACAGAAACGTAACTGGAGGTAACTGGATTACATCCATTAATTTAATAAATGAATTAAAAGCTCGAAAGCTCGAAAAGAAAATGAAATTATCGCTACAGATCCTGTTTGGCCATAAATGTTATTTTTTTATTGTAAGTTATAACATACCTGTCAGTTTTGACGTTTAAAATTAAAATGAAATTATTTTGGTATCAGAGGATCGACTGAGGCGTATACAAAAGGATGTTATCTATTTGGCCATTAATTTTATTTTTAAGATGTCAAAACTAAGTAGATGTCAAAACAACACATTTTTTAAAATATGTTTACGTATAAGAGTTTCCTTATATTCCAAATAATATAGAAATACTCAAACAAATGCAGTTTTTTTATTCCTCAAAAAAAATGGAGTCACCTGTGACCTCAGGATACCAGTAAGGTTTCAAATTGCTTGCGTACCAGTTAAGGGTTAAAACCAGTGGTGGCTTTTGGGATGGTTCACAGTGTCAGAATATAGGTATCAGTGCAGATGTATGAAAAAACTTTCAGCGCTTTAGAAAGTATATAATATACCTTTCTAAAACACTGACAGTTTTTTACCTATATCTGTACCGGGATCTATATTCTGCTACTGTGAACCCCCAAAATTTTGGTGACGAGCCGCCCCTGGTTAAAAAATCATCTTGTATGTCTGAATTTTAATTAATATTAACATTTTGTGGGCACAGAATAAAAGCGGAAGGGATAATGTTAAATTTATTTCGTCATAATTATAGCCACGTTTTAGAGAGGCTAAAATCAAATAACATTCCACTTCTATAAACAGTAAAGAAGAACTGAAGAAATGAAAAATAATCCAGATGTACTTAGAAAGCATGTTACCCATATTTTGAAAAGGACAAGAAATACGGTGAACAAAATGAAGGTTATTTTGAACCATTTTTTTTTAATTTTTGATAATAAGGTTGGTGTTTCTATTATTCATTGTTGTAGAATAAGTATTTAGGTATTATTTATGTATTTTTCATTTCTATACCTACTATTTATTAAAATTTACTTATTCGGAAGATAAATGATTGTGATATTTAGTCCTAAATACGGACCTTCTTGTTGCATATTTATGCTGATTTTTATAGAAATTAAATAATTTTTTTTGCTTAAATAATGCATTTACGGCAATTTTTTTTAAATGTGCTATTTTTTCTGATAAAAAATTAATTTCTTTAAAATTCCACTGTCCCTAAAGTCGTCCGGACCCTTGAGATATTTTAAAAATACGTCAAAATTGAAATTAGAATTTTCTGCTGTACGTAAAATTGAACTTAAAGGATACATTGATGCCGACTGAGTCGGTGACAACTTGGATCGACAGTCTACAAGCGGATATATTTTTATGCTAGAAGAGATAGTAATTTCTTGGACCAGTAAGAAACAAAGGTCGGTATCATTGCTCAAGCAAGCCAAGATATAGTTTGGTTACAACGACTAATAGAAGATGTTTAAATTTCTCTTAAGAAGCCAACCATATTATTTAAAGACAATCAAAGCTGCATAAAGCTTAGTCTTAATGAGAAAAGCAGTAACCTTACTAAACACATTGATGTGAAATATCATTATCTTAAGGACTTAGTCAAGTTAAATTGGATATTGTCAAACTTCTGATTTGTTGGCTGATGGACTGACGAAATATCTTTCCTGATCCAAATTTGAACAGTTTCGAATAAGTTTGGGAGTTACTCCAGAATGATCAGTCGAGTCGAGGTGTTTTTGTGTTGTTTTTTAAATTACACAAACTACAATCTTTTCGCCATCACAAACCTCAACAAAATGAACTAGAAGTCTCTAGTTATAACTTTGTTGAGAACTATAACCTTTTTAAAAATTAGCTATGTGCAACTTTAACACGCTGTATTTTAAAAAATAATCATAGGATGGAGCTGGCTCCGTGGACGCCTTTTTTCACAAATTTAAAAATTTTAACCAAGTTCCATTTATCCATAATAAAAGTGCGAAGACTTTGCCATTGGTATCAACTGCCCCTCTGTTCCTTGCTGACAGGGCCCTTAGAAGAAACATATACGAGTATACCAAATTTATACATAATTTATAATCATTTATTAATTTACAACACTCAAAGGTTTTAGTCAATTACAGGGTGAGAAATTTAAGATTACAATTACATATAAAATTATCTACTTATCAGTAGGAATATTAATTTATGAATGCATTTTTTATTAAAAATACAGATGAGTTGAATATATGAGGCTGGGTACTTATTAAATTATAATGTGAACACTTTGGAACAACGGTGAGTTTTGTAAAATATTGGTTCGCGCAGTTTACAGATGAAAGGTAATGTTGCTTCGAGATGTAATCCTAGGACCATTGTGCCTTGTTTAACAGAAATAAAATAAATTACAGACTTCCATTATAAAAGTTATATCACCACAATAATATAAAAAGCAAATAAGTAGTTTCGATAAAAACATCCCAAAATGTGTATATTGGTCCATAAAAAGTACTGTCCAGCCCAGGTTGATATCTTACTCCTTGACAAACGCATAGTGTCAGCCAAATAAAGATAATTTGATCAACAAAATCTGGCAACCAAGCAATTGAATTATTAAGCAGAAATGCATCTAACCGCCATCTATTACCAACTTAGTTAATTAATAGTTTTTGTTATGAATATTTTGTCATGCAAGTTGTCTTAAGAAAAGTTGCAGTTATATAACTTTTTGTGTTACTTGGGAAAATTCTGGCTAGCCGAAACTCCGGTCCTGTAGCCCAACACTCAATCTCCTACGTAATAACTGGCGGTTTTTGAGGTTAGAAGCGGCATTATTACGTATAATGATTTAACCGTGAAGTCAAAATAACTCCGTTCCATTTCGTTGAATAATATCTTCTCACCTAATAATGAAAATCCAATTAAATTTGCCGCTTTATCAAAGTCAAATTAGAACTAATTTACAACGTGAAGTGAAATCCCTAATTTAATAAAAGGGTTATCTCTTGGTGGTATGGAGCTGCTCCTAAAGCCCAGCGGCGCCCATCAGGTGGGCTTCGCAGTGCATTTGCCGCCCCTCTGGGGCTGTAGTTTTTCCCTTTTTTCCATGTCGCATCTTGACAACCTACATTATTATTTTTTCCTGTTGGGTAATTTATAATTTAAATCATAACCGTTATTTATGGTAGGTACTAGTCTCAAACAAGAAAAGTTTTTCTCAACTGACTCACAGAACATAAAATAAAATGTTATCCCATTAAAAATATAAACTGATTGATTTTGTTTGTGGCATTATTTCTATAATACCATCATTTATATCAATTTTAGTTGTGACTGTAGTTGATCCACTCCTAATTTTGAAAACAAAATGGTTGCTCGTGGGTAATGACAGGTTATGATATGGCAACCCGGTGGATCTACTAATTTGGCAGGGTCAATGATATAGTTAGTTATAAATATTAATTATCTATGCCTTGTCGTAAAAATTTGAGTAATTATTTTTTTTACTATATTCAAAGGCTGAAATATGATTTTATAACATATTTTGTTAAACTTATTCTGAATAATGAGCACTTACAAGGCAATATGGCTGCTTGCAAACAACCTGCTTTGAGCAATCGATGTAACTATACATGTATCATTGATCGTGTCCCACAAGG